CTGGAGTAGACAGGAGATATCGGATCTCCTGGGCCTGTGGGGAAAGGAGGCTGTGCAGGGTACAGCTCAGAACCTGCCCTAGAAACGTGGCTATTTACAAGCAGATTTCTCAGGGGATGCAGAAGGGCTACAACAGGGACCAGCAGCAGTGTTGTGTGAAAGCCAAGTTGCTGCGGCAGGCACATCAGAAGGCCAGAAAGGCCTTCAACAATCAAGTTGGTGCCAAGCTACAGACCTGCCGCTTTTACAAAGAGCTGAATGCCCTATTCAGTGGAGACTCCACCACTCCCAACAGAACCATGGATTCATCCGAGAAGCCAAAGTCACAGGCCCCTGCCATAAACTGTGAGGAAAAGGAAGATGGGGGACAGACAACCAGGGGATCCAGCTACGCAGCAAGCCAGGACCGGTTTTTAACTCCAGCACAGTCCAATCAGTCAGAATCATAGAATATTAGGGTTGGAAGAGACCTCAGGAAGTCATCGAGTCCAATCCCCTGCTCAAAGCAGGACCAATCCCCAACTAAATCATCCCAGCCAGGGCTTTGTCAAGCCTGACCTTAAAAACCTTTAAGGATGGAGATTCCACCACCTCCCTAAGTAACCCATTCCAGTGCTTCACCAACCTCCTAGTGAAAAAGTTTTTCCTAATATCCAACCTAAACCTCCCCCACTGCAACTTGAGACCATTACTCCTTGTTCTGTCATCTGCTACCACTGAGAACTAAGCTGTGGATGACATAGCTTTGGAGAAGTCAGGCTGCTGGTCCTTTATTCAGCAGCCTGTCCAGACAGCAAAGTCTTAAACGCTGTCCTGAACCAAAGCAGATTCTGTTACAGAATAAAATTCTATTACTCAGAACAAAATTCTTCTTTATTAGTTCTCAACATATAGTGGCTGGCACTCAGCAGTTCTGAAAGCGTCCAATTACTTGTTACTGTGCAGAAGATCATTCACAAACAAAATCAAAGGATGCATTAACAATGTTATATTCCTGTATATACACACACAGAATTTACCACATGATTCATAGTGGGCTGCAAAAGAGCAGAGCCAGGTGGAGCACACCACTATACTGTACGCTACTCTGGCTCACAGTTACAATGCTCTTTCATAGCTTCCCTGAACTGTACAGCTCCACGTTGAGCTCTTTTAATGGCCTTGTATCTGGCTGTTCAGATTCAGCAGACAGATGCTCCACCTCTGCCCTCCACCCCATGGAAAGTTTTCCCTCTTTGCTTCACAGATATTATGCAGGACACTGCAGGCAATTATGACCATTGGGATATTTTTCTCATTGAGGTCCAATCTTGTGAGTAAACAACGCCAGCAACCAAACGCTCATTTGACTGTCTTTCTGCACCTCCTGAGCCAGTAGTTGAAGTGCTCCTTGGTGCTGTCAAGGTACCCATTGTACGGCTTCATGAACCATGGGAAGAAGGGGTAGGCTGAGTTGCTCAGGATCACTATCAGCATTTCATCATCACCAATGGTAATCTACCTGTTGGGAAGGAAAGTTCTTGCTTGCAGCTTTCGGAACAGTCCTGGGTTCTTAAAGAGGTGAGTGTCATGCACCTTCCATGACCAGTCCACCACACTGATGTAGATGAAGCATCCCTAGTGATCCATCAGCACTTACATAACCATAGAAAAGTAGGCCTTTTCTGTTGATGTACTCTGTGGCAAGGTGGGCTAGTGCCGTCTATTGCTCCACGGCAATTCGGGAACCCCACAGCTGCAAATTCACCCACTATGTCTTGCACGTTGCAGAGAGTCAGTCCTACATAGTAGAAGGCGATTAATGGCCCTGCACACTTGCATGACAACAGCCCCTGTGGTAGATTTCCTGACTTCAAATTGATTCCCAGTTGATTGGTAGCAATCCAGCGTTGCAAGTTTCCACAGTGCGATCGCCACTCGTTTCTCCACTGTTGGTGCAGCTCTCATTTTGGTGTCCCTGCACTGGAGGACTAGGACAAGTTTGGCACACATATCCAGGAATGTGGCCTTGTACATCCTAAAGTTCTGCAGCTATTGCTCATCATCCCAAACCTACATAATAATGTGATCCCACCAGTTAGTGCTTGTTTTTGAGGCCCAGAACCAGCGCTCCACCATCTTGCAGCTGCTCCGTGACCACCAACCACCACCTTGAATCGGGTCTTGCTATGTCCCACAGCAATCTGTCCTCCAAGGAATCATCATGTTCCCCGCATCTCTTCTTTCAGCTCTGCAAATACTGCAGGATGTTGCACCCTGTTCTTGCAACAGTCATGACAGTAGTGCAGAGCTACGCAGGCTCCATGCCACATGGGTTTGTGGGATTTTGAAAAAAAGGCGCAAAAATCATGGGATATAGATCACATTAAGGGATGGAGACAGCTGCAAACTGAAAAGTTGACCCCATGCTTCCAGTCATCCCAATTGACTTGCTTTGGCCCCATCATGCATTGCCAAAAGATAGTGCACTGGACGGTGGCAAGTTGCACAGTGGGATACTCACCCATAGTGCACCTCATCCTGCATCGATACAAGTGCTCCTGGTGAGTATACACACCATTAACACAAGCATAGGCGCCGACTCCATGGGTGCTGCACGGCTGGAGCACCCACGGGGAAAATTAGTGGGTGCTCCACCCCCACCTCCTCCCCCGAGCGCACCACGTCCCCGCTTCTCCTCGTCCCAGGGCTTCCTGCCCGCCGCCTAACAGCTGTTTGGCAGCTCTTAGGACTTTCCGGGACGGAGGGGGAGGAGTGGGGACGCGGCACGCTCCGGGGAGGAGGCGGTAAAGAGGCGGGACAGGGACTTGGGGAAAAGGGGGTGGAGTGAGGGTGGGGCCAGGGGTCAAGCGCACATGGGGCAGAAGGGAAGTTGGTGCCTATGAACACAAGGAGCCAAGTATGCACACGCACAAATGATGTACTGACTGCGGCGGCTGTATGTCGACGTAACTTGAGTTAGTAGCATAGACATGGGCTGAATTTAATAAAAAAGTTAAGTGGTTTTAATTGTGGTTACAAAGCAAGTGAACCAGCAATAATCTGATGTAAAACCTCAAACAACAATTAGCTGTTTAATTGTGTAGCAGTTTTAACAAACACTTTATCCTTTTCTGGGTAAGGTATCCTTATTATCAATACAATATTCTCAGCCACTTGCTTAGGGTATGAATCAGCACTGAAATAGCTGTTTTCTTCCATATGGAGAAAGACTTGCATTTGTGAGGTAAGCGATCCACAAACAAACTATCCAGGCTTCTGCTAGAACTCATTCTCTTGATGCAGTAGAATCATATAACTGAAGGGGGTCAAAATCCAAGTCTGTTTGGCAAATCTTCCTCTGGCTGAGAACAGCAAAGTGAAGGGAAACTTATGTGATGTCAAGAGGGCCAAATACTAGAATAAGTGAGTCCAAACTAAAGCAACTATGATCCTAGCAGCACTCTCCTATTCTGTATTCCATAATATTTTGGGAAACACCCACCTGCAACTCCTTTTAGCAGAAAGGTACCAGTCAGTGCCAGCCAGCCCTTTCCTTCCCTGGTCTAATGGTAGGGGCAACTCCAGGTAATTCAGCTGGGAAGGTCTCAGAAGGAGCAGGAAGCCACTGTCTTCCAAGGACCTTCCACCAAGATTGTCTTTCACCTGATCGCACCCACCTTGCTAGCGTTCCCAAGATGGTTGAACTTCAGGACCTAGTGCAAAGTCCAACTATTCACCCACTCAGGCATTTGTTTATGGTTGGCTGGGATGTGAGCAAATTCTTGTCTAAGAATGGGCTCAGAAATGCTGGATCTTCACCCTCTTGCACACCTAGAGGCCAGGGGGCTACCTAGGTTTCATCTTGCTAGAGTAATTTTCCTCCATCAAGATGGAGATTCCAGTCTCCATCTCATAAAATGTACTTATTGTGTAATTACTCAAAGTGTGATCTGTGACAAAGTCTTGAGACTCAAGATCATCATCTGTTGTTTCAGCTAATAAGAGTAGTCAAACTTCTGCTAATCAAAAGCACTCTGCTATAGTCTGCATGATAATATCTCGGGAGGTGGGGGGGAGGGAGGGAGGGTAGCCACCACCACATAAGAGTTGAAGTTTGAAGAGACACTGGTTAGGCAACAGGTTCAGTATTATGATACTTAAACACTCCAGTTATCAATTTGATTGGATTTTGATTTATAACAAAAATGAGATCCACCTTTTTAGACTATAAAAAGTCTGATTATTTTTGGTGCTAATTTGATTAGTTAACTCTAATTTAATATTTAGAGTTTAATCTTGATCTGATTTTGATTGGATAGTGGTAATGCTTTGTTTCTAGTTACTGATGATAACCTATCACCGAAGCTAAGCTTTCTTGGTTTTATTTTTGTTAGTTTTTGTGTTTTAATAAAATTTATGGCACTAATACAGTGTCTCATTTCTTCACCAGCCAATGTGGGTCCAGAACCTTGGAGGACCCAGGGGACACAACTGGTCAACTTAACAGCCCGATGACCTCTCCTAATTAGTCCCTGGGTCTCATAAGTGCCTGCTCTAAGCATGGTATTGTGATTGCATTTCAGATTTATTTTTTTGGATCCAGATGTTGAAGCAAGTGATACATGCTTTATGCACAAAGCTATAAATGAAACCAAGTGACCATAACAGAGGAAACTCTAGTGCTAGAGGACACGACTGTCACAGCGTTCTTGGATTCCATGAAATTCCACCCACACTCTCTTTTGTTAATTGGGTCACAGAATCTACCTCTCCTTAACCACAGGCGTTAAGAAAAGCAATTAGGGAGCATCATATTAACAATGGCTCTCCAAGGTTATAGAGGTCTCCTGCTGGCCTGATGGAAAAGGACTAATGCATCTAGAAAACAGGTTGATATACATACAGTACATGCACATTTGGTAATTTTAACATGCAGTTGGCTCAACAGCATTCTGAATGGGATGCTCATTGAATGTGGATTGGTAAATTATTCCAAGTATAGTGTGGATCATTCCCACCTGCATTTTTGGGTCTTGCATAGAGATCTTCAGACCTTGACTCCAATGTCCTAAATGTTCCTAGAGTATAAATAGAATAGGCACTTTCAGAAGAAATTAAAAAAAAAAAAAATCTAATGATATTTAAGCAGAATCCAAAGTCTTCAATTAAATAATTTTTATTATAACTCCAATATTGCTTTGCTGATACCATTTTAAACACAGGTATGTATTTGTATTTTCTTTTTTAAAAAACTAGGAAATATTTCTTTTAAACCTTTTTTTTAAGTAAAGTTTGCAAAGTAAAACATTTTCAGTTGGGAAATTCCAGAATTAGAGTTACCCAGGCAACTTTAGTTTGGCCCTCTTATACATCTGCATTATGACACAGCCCTTAATTACATGATCACAGGCCATTTTTCTACAGGACTCTGCAACATTCAATGCACAGGATAGACGGTGCTCTGGGAACAAGGCAGCCATTACTATTTCTTTGTATCTTTGTCATTCAGTGGATGGCCCCAGGCCTTGCTCTATGCCACCATTCAAACCCTCTACTGAATGCAACACTTTAATTTCATTTCTATTGCACCCATTACCATAACATCTTAACCTCACACACATTAATATGTAGCTTCAACAACAATATGGGCTAGGGTGGGTGAGTTGTGTTTTTTTAAACAGACGGTGCTCAGGCACTGAGAGATTACGCCAATGTTAGCAAAAACCTCTACTAACTTTGGGTCTCTCAATGACTGGGTGCCCGGTTTGAGACACTTGGGCCTGATTTTTTTCCGAATATGTAGCATTTTATAGCACTCTATATATTCAAAACATGGCACAGATATCAAGTTAACCCTCATAACCCCCTCATGAGGCAAGTGTGTAAGCATTACTGCTCTTTCAGAGGTTCTCAAACTTAATTGCATCACAACCCCCTTCTTACAACAAAAGTTACTACACGACCCCAGGATGGGGGACAGAAGCCTGAGCCCACCAGAGTCCCGCTGCCCTGGGCAGGGGGACAAAGCCAAAGCCCGAGCCTAGCTGCCCCAGGCGGTGGGGCGCAGGCTTCAGCAAGTCTAATGCCAGACCTGGTAACCCCATTAAAATTAGTTCAGGACCCACTTTGGGGTCCCAACCCACAGTTTGAGAACCACTGTGTATTTTATGGATGGAGAAACTGAAACAAAGGCAAAGTGAGTAGCCCCAGGCCACACAGTGAATGAGTATCAAAGCCAGGATTAGAAGAACACAGGACTTCCTGTCTCCCAGCCCTGTGCTCCTGCCAGCAGAAGTGCTCAGGTCTTGTGGGGGGAAAAAACCAGGCCCCAAGTACGGCACCCAGAAAACGAGGAACAGAGTTAGTGGCGACCTCTGGAAAGTTTGGTTTCAGTGAGTGGGCAGAGGCAGGGACAAACTCCCATTCTTTTAACGTAGTTTTTTGGTATGTGATGGACGCTTAATTTAAGTGTGCTACTCTGAAAAGTGACTGGGAAAAGATCAAGGGGTTTCATTGGTTCCCACTCGCTATTTCCAGGTCAAATCTCCTCTATTTCCAAGAGAAACAATGGATTTCCTAGCTGCCAACCCTCCAAACCCACCATAAAATCAGAGTCAAGCTGAGCTCTTCTGGCTCACACCATCACCCACCAACAAGGTTCTTTGCAGCTGGAACCAAAGCCCTGATCCCGCAGTCTGCTGCAGGCAGCTGTGTGCACCCACGTGAAGCCCCACTGATTTCAGTAGGGGTCCGCCCATGTAGATCAGACTGCAGGATCGAAGCCTTAGTTAGCAATTCCGTGGCTGATGTACAAGCCAGAAGGGAATTCAGCTTCCTCCCCCAAAGCTATGTTGGGTTTTCCATGCGAACAGGAGTCTCTCAAGTAGAACTGGTTTCTGCTCTACGGTCAGCTGATTTGACTGACTACACTGAGGCTCAGTCTACACGGAAGAGCTTTTGATGTTCTCCCACAATTGCCGTAGCACCAGTGCAGCTCCACCAGTGCTGGCAATGATGGGCGTGCTAGGGCAGGGTATTCTACTGCTCACCTTGTGGCTGGAAGAGCTGTCATGGGGAGAGGAGGAAGAACTGCTGGTATTGTTTGGCTTGCAGCTTGAACTACCATCTTGCAAGTCTGATTGCTCCATTTTCATACTTTTTTCAGACATGTTTTTCATGTTACTATTCCCAGAGTCTACGTATGGCCTCTTGTTTGCTTTTGTCTTCCCTTCTGCTCGTGCGCCAGACACCCCTGTGACTTCCAAGAATTGTATAGTATAGGGGTAAAGTTTATTCACAAGATGTAGAACCTGTCCTGGCTTCAGCTTCACTTCTTCATCCTTCCCAATATCCACCAAATCAACACTGGCTGGGTTAACTCCCATCTTTGGATAATCAGAAAAAAGCACAATGTAGGAATTGGCATACAAGTATAGACCCTAAATTCAGATATACTAAAACCCAACTACTCCAAACTGTTCTAAGACACCCCTGTCCCTGCAACGCAGAGAGAGAAGAGTACATGGCATTTCCTCCACCCTGCTCCACATACTGGCCCATTTTAATGCAAATCAAAAATTGGAGTTGGAGGTATAGATTTAGAGCCTCATCCTGCAATCAGAACCGCTAGAACAAACCCTGCACCAGCATGAAGCCCTAATGAGCCTAATGGGATCCCACATGGGAACAGCGTCTGTGTTAGCAGAGCTGGCTGGGACCGCATACCACCATGAAGCCCTGCACCCCACTGGGGTCTGGGTTGGTGGCACTGGCTGTGACCCCACCAAAGCATGCAGCCACACTGGGATCCTACATGGGTACAGGTTGGTGGAGCTGGTTGTGACCCTGCCTTGCCATGAAGCCCCTGTAACCTCAATGGAGCTGGTCCCACATTGGTACAGGGTCCACATTAATTGTACTGGCTGTGACCTCACACTGCCATGGAGCCCATGACCCCCATGAGGTCAGTTCCACATGGGTACAGGGTCCATGTTAGCGATATTGGCTGCAGGATCGAGATGTGTCTTCACCTGGGTTTTAAGGCCTTTGGCATACTTTTAGGAGCTTGGAAAATAAATAAATAGCAGCTGCATCAAGTCTGACTCCGATATTCAGCATCAGAAACCAGCACCTTGGTTCCAAACAATTGTACTTTCTGATCAGTCTCCTTTATAGTGATATTTGTCTTACTGTGCTCCAACTGCATGGCATCTTTGGAAGATTCTTAGCATAAGCTGGTTTATTTCATTGGTGACTAGCTCTGTGAGAAGATTTTGCCATTCCAAATATGTGCGAGAACAACTATGACAGGCCTAATGCTGCCCTCAGTTACACAGGAGTAATGCCATGGGCAGAACTGAGCCCCATGTTACAAATATTTCAAATAAAAAAAAACAATGAAAAAATATAACAAGGAGTACTTGTGGCACCTTAGAGACTAACAAATTTATTTGGGCATAAGCTTTCGTGGGCTACAACCCACTTCATCCAATGCATGGAGTGGAAAATACAGTAGCAGGTGTATAGTACATGAAAAGATGGGACTTGCCTTACCAAGTGGGGGGGGTCAGTCTAATGAGGCAATTCAATTAACAGTAGAATACCAAGGGAGGAAAAATCACTTTTGTAGTGGTAATGAGGGTGGCCCATTTCAAACAGTTGACAAGAAGATATGAGTAACAGTAGGGGGAAATTAGTATGGTAAAATTAGTTTTTGTAATGACCCATCCACTCCCAGTCTTTATTCAGGCCTAATTTGATGATGTCCAGTTTGCAAATTAATTCCAGTTCTGCAGTTTCATGTTGGAGTTTGTTTTTGAAGTTCTTGTTGTTGAAGAATTGCCACTTTTAAGTCTGTTATTGAGTGACCAGGGAAGTTGAAGTGTTCTCCTACTGGTTTTTGAATAATTCCTGACATCAGATTTGTGTCCATTTATTCTTGTGTGTATAGACTGTCCGGTTTGGCCAATGTACATAGCAGAGGGGCATTGCTGGCATATATCAGCAAACTCAGCAATGCTCTTCACAGCTGCCCTATTAAAGGTACACTCACAAGGTGAGTTAAACTGAAACTTTGACCTGCCTTTTCTTTCATAGCTATTTACAAATCTATATAATCCTTGTGTGTTTCTTCCCCAAAAAAGTGTTTTGAAAACTCAAGTGCTTCCAGAAGCTCTGCTGGTGGCTCTAGAGGTAGCATAGTTATAACTGACTTAGAGAGGACAAAGGCTAAGTTTGTCATGGATTTTTTAGTAAAAAAGTCATGGACAGGTCACAGGCAATAAATAAAAATTCACAGAAGCCCATGACCTGTCCCTGACTTTCACTAAAAATAGCCCTGACAAAAGGGGTAGGTGGGTTCAGTACCCACTGCGGTATTGTGTGGGAGCTCCAGGGTAACCCCACTGCCTGCCACAGCGGGGCAGCTGCGGGGTCCCCCAGCCCCTGCCACAGCTGGGCAGCTGTGGGGTTCCCCCACCAGGGCAGGGACTGGGAGCTGCAGGGGCGGGGCTGGCTGGGAGCTCCAGCCCTGGGACAGAAAATGTCAGAGGTCAATGGAAGTCACGGGTTCCGTGACCTCCATGACATAATCATAGCCTTAGTTATAACCAATACCCCAGCATTGCTGGGGGAGAGGGGGACAAAACAGAGAGAGGGGTCAGCTCTTGGAGAAGACTATACTACAGTCAAGTTCACTTGAGGTTGAGCTACTTGTATTCTTGAGGAACTGGATTCCCTGCTTCCATGAAATGCTTTTAGTTAATTATACAATCAATACTGGACAAAACCAGATTCAGCCTCTAAACACTGCCTCCAGGTTTCTCTTTAGCAGAGTTCCTGTTGGATACCTGCAAGGTCCACACAATGGCACTTTGACTTGGAGCCCCGGGCAGTCTGCATGAGTAGAGGTTTTAGCCCTTCTCAAATTTCAGCTGGAATCCCAGGATATTCTGATGAATTATAATGCCCTAAATTTTCAGCTGAATAAAATTTTCTTCACTTTCCATCCTGAACCATGTGCTGTTTAAAGGCTACTCCGTGACACCCTAGCACTGCACTTCCTTCAGGCCAGAAGCAATCCTCGTATACAGTGAAACTTGCACTAAGCGCCATCTTCAGCGACAACTGCCTATCTGAATACAGTCACCGTGTTCCCAATGTTTCTTGTACAGTTATATTCAAATTGTAATTAAAGCTTACTCACTAGGCAACCAGCGATTGCTGATCCCTTAGGGGTTTCACTGAATATAGTTTGCAGCCAAGTGTAAAACATTTATCAAGCAGCTGGGGTCTTTGGAAGAAAGATTTGTTTCTAACCAAGCTCAGTGAAACTGCAGTGGTGCTTTTTGGACCTGTAGGCCACTGCATCCAGAGTACGGTATTTGTAGTACAGTAGTGTAACAATTTCTGCGAAAAGCCAGTCTCTCTCTCTGGTAGGTGACCAGTCTAATTTGGACCCAAATTAGTTGTGACAAAGTTAATTACCATTAGATGGCCTGAATAAAATAAGTTTTTTGATTTCAACTCTACCCCTAGCAGTCAAGTGTTAGACGGGACTGCAAGGATAACTCCCAAGATGATTAACACACCCAGAAACCCAGACAAACAAACAGAGGCCTTGTCAAGACTAGGAAAACAGGTTGTTTTATTAAATATATCTGCTAACCCTGGGGGAGGAACCTAGTAAAGGTGTTAAACCCTGTCTACCCTGCATGCTAAGTAGCGTTTAAAATTGTGTTAATTAAAACACTACCTATTCTCCAAGTCTAGACAGCCCAGAGAGAGGCCACCCCCAGGCCCCAGCAATGGGGGGGGGGGGGGGGGGGGGGGGGGGGAAGCAACACGAGCAGCAGCAGAAATCTTAGGCCATGTCTACACCACAGGACTATAGCACCATAGCAATGCCATAATGTAGACACAGCCCTTTAGTGACAGATGGGGGTTTTTCCCATCACTGTATTAGCACCGTCTCCCTGAGCGACAGTAGCTAGGTCGATGGAAGCATTCTTCTGTTGACCTAGCTGCATCTACACCAGCAGTTACGTTGGCATAGCTACAGCTCTCAGGGGTGTGGATTCTTCACACCCCAAGCGACGTAGCCACAACCACCTAAATTTTAAATCTGGACCAGACATAAATCTTAGCCACCTTCCAGGATGTTACCCGGTGCAGGGAAGAGGAGTGAAACAGCCCTCCCACTGCAGCATACAGAAGTAGTATTACGGCACTAGCTTATCCACTAAACTCCCTGATTGACCCCTTCTCCAGTGTCTGGACATTTTAGATTGCAAGCTCTGTGATGGGATTGTGTCATCTGCCATGTTTTGTAAAGCGACAAGCACAATGACAACCCTAAGTAATACTGGACATCCATAAATGAACATACCTGTTTGATCTTGACATACCCTTTATTACAGTCCGCTTTTAGCTGCACTGAAAAGAAACAAAGCATCAGAGAATTACTTAAACATAGGAGTCAGGCTGCTGGAGTAAATTGGCACAGCTCTACTGAAGCCAAATTCAGCTGGGGATCTGGCCCACAATGTATGTTCCTATTAGCTTTCATCAAATGGGTGAAGATAGAAATATAAATCCTAATTGAACTCACTGGTTCAGTTTATTCAGTTAATTTACAATTAATAAATAATACTGAGAGTCAACACATCTATTTAGAAGCCTTGACAGGTACATTAAACTGTATACAGCTCAAACATAGCACCGACCTTGTTTTGAGTTCACATTTTCTGAAATCCCAGATTTCTGTATTAAAGTTGTGTCAACAGGTGTTGCTAATATTCTTCTCCCTAGACAAAATTACAAGCATCTACACAGCAGATTGCTAGAAATTACAATGACACTACTTAACGACTGTCCTGCCTTATCAATGGGATTTCTATTAATGTACATGAAATAAAGTTTCCCAGCACTGGCCTTTCTAAAGTTCCAGAGGTCACATGTGGCTTATAAACCATATGGCTTTTTGACTCGCACCTGTATAATGATTCCAGTCATAAGCAACTGACTGATGTGCCTGAGCAAAGGAGGAAATAGATTAGAGTCATCCCACGCGTCCACTCTCATAAGCTTTTACAGATTTTTCAAAGAGCTAAGCTTGGTTGTAACATATTCAACAGAGCTTCTTTAAAAAATTTGCAGCTAGCATCACTTGGTATTTTATAGTTGTACTAGAAGATATGATACCAAGGAAACTATGACTAAATCATATCCTTGCTACAGAACCTTTTATAGAGTTCTATAGCAGTGGTTCTCAAACTAGGTCCGCCGCTTGTTCAGGGAAAGCCCCTGGCGGGCCGGGCCGGTTTGTTTACCTGCCGCGTCCGCAGGTTCTGCCGATCGCGGCTCCCACTGGCCGCGGTTCGCTGCTCCAGGCCAATGGGGGCTGCAGGAAGGGCAGCCAGCACGTCCCTCGGCCCGTGCCGCTTCCTGCAGCCCCCATTGGCCTGGAGCGGCGAACCGCGGCCAGTGGGAGCCGCGATCGGCAGAACCTGCGGACGCGGCAGGTAAACAAACCGGCCCGGCCCGCCAGGGGCTTTCCCTGAACAAGCGGCGGACCTAGTTTGAGAACCACTGTTCTATAGAATTTAACAGAGACTGCTACCCTTACTACAAAATGCATATAGTTACTTTTCAATATATGAAATGTACCTACTGGTACTTCTAGGAACATGAACAATATATAAAAATCAAATTCACTGGAACCTGGAGAGAATGTCAAACTCAAAACACTCTTCTCTATATGAGTTTACAGGTTTTCAACAGACTATGTATAAGACTGTTATATAAAGATCAATTTCTACTCCTCCTGGTGACAGAAAGGCCATGTTTCCTCATGTCTGTCAGATTATACAGCCCTTTGCGAGCTCCTATAAACAGAATAGCTATAACAGGTAAGCAGCTCTACCTAGAGAGCAGAGATCTTCTGTGGCTAAAAGACCCACTGGATTGGAGCCCCATGACTGATAATTACACAGCAAGCCAGAGAGATGCCTGCTTTGGTTTTCAGAGAGAAGCTGTAGTTCCCACCTGAACTGCCCATCCCTTAAATGTAAGATTAAACCCCAGCTGGGCTTTAGAGTTTACAGTCTATCAAAATAATGTAACCAAACATAAGAACAATGAAACCGAACTGAATCTCACAATCTGATATGACACCATCACAGAATTTCTATACTTGTACCTCACATGTTTCTTACACTTTTTTTGGAACTGCTGGATTGTCATCAAGCCAGCAGTTGCACGTAAACTGAAGCTGTAACTTACCTTGTTGCCGTGAACACTTCTTGTCTGTTATCTCTGTCTCTGGGCCACGCCCTATCACTACTGTTTTTAAGTGTGGCAGTTTGATTCGCTGACAGCATTTATCTTTCCTCACTAGCCAGCACACCTGCATTATTGCACTATAGGAAAAAAAAACAAGAGGAGATTGTCTGACAGGATTACATTCAGATAGGGATTATGAGAATTTTTCAGGTTTAGCTTACATCAGATAGGAAAAAAAGCCCCTCTTGGGCCAGGTCTACACTACAGAGTTTTGTTGGCCCCCTGTTTCAACATAGAAAAAACAAAAAACACACAATACACATTGAAGAGGCAGCTATATGGCAAAACAGCCCCTTTGCTGATATAACCTGTGTCATTCTTAGAAGTGGTTTACTATATTAACAAAATATCTCCTTACGCCAATGTAAGCTGCATCTCCACTAGGGACCACGACAGGAGACTTGGAATTCCTGGGTTCTATTCCCACTAAACCAGGGATTCTCAACCTTTTTCTTTCTGAGCCCTTCCCCCCCCCCCCCCTATAAAAACCCCCTGGACCACTCGTGCCACAATAACTGTTTTTTCTGCATATAAAAGCCAGGGCCAGTATTATGGTGTAGCAAGAAGGGCAACTGCCTGGGGCCCCATGCCACAGGGGGCCCCAGGAAGCTAAATTGCTCAGACTTCGACTTCAGGCCTGGGTGGCAGGGCTCAGGGCCTCAGCCCCATGCAATGGGACTTCAGTTTTCTGCCCTGAGCCACAGCAAGTCTAATGCCGGCCCTGCTTGGCAGACCCCCTGAAACCTGTTTGCAGCCCCCCCAAGGGCCCCTAGACCTCTGATTGAGAACCACTCCACTAAATCACTCATTGGATGACCCTGATTAAGTCATGTAAGACTCTGATGCAATTTTCCCAGGATGGGGTCATCCTGAAATTACTGGGGCATATTTACAACCTGAACTATAGATTAAAGGTTCTTTTTGTCATCCTCTCCCCCCCCCACCACCACCACATTTTTGATCCATCTGCATGGCTGCAGGACAACTGCTACCTATTATGCTGAATAAGTCAAGCGACTAAATATAATTACATATTTGTATTGTGAGTGGGGTTTTTTTAAACTACACATATAAGCACATCTTAAATCATCTCACTCAAATTATGATGTGCATTAATTTTCCTACTCGAAAAAACCCTAATCATGTTGAAATCTAAAAGGGACAAAGTTTGACAGAATATAGAAAGTACCTCCCAAACAGCTAATTATGTCTGTACTACTATCCAGCATGGAAAGTTCTCTCTCTGGAAAACCTCACATAAATTACCGGTAACCATTTCATTTTTACTTGACATACCTTACTGGATAGCTACAAAAACAACAAGGAGTCTGGTGGCATCTTAAAGTGGCACAGATTACTGGATAGCTGTTATTTTACAGATGATTTTGTATCAAAATTCAAAACAGAGCAGTTAATTTTAACATTAATCAGTTACCATGTCATATGGATCAAGTACCAAAGAAGTGCCATTATCAGACGAACATAGGATTGCAAGTGGCCTTCTGAGTCACTGAATCCAGCCCTCTGCAATTACAAGCAACCCTGTCATATAATCCTATTTACAAACTTATCAAGCTCCCTCTTAAAACTACTTAGGTTATTTGCCCCCACTACTATTGGGAGCATGTCCCAGAACCTCACTCCTCTGATAGTTAGAAACCTTTTTCTAATTATCCAGGCATAATGATGTACTTCATGGTACTTCAGTGTCTATATTGAGTAAAGAAAAAATTTTCATGAATAAAAATGAACTCAAGTGACTAAGACAGGGAAGACCTTGCCAGCTGATGGTGCACTAGAACAGCGTTTCTGAAACTGGGGGTACTCCAGGGGGTCTGTGGGCCCCGCTGATCAACTCCTCCCTCTCCCTCCCACTGCCTCCTTTATGCCGGGGAACAGTTCCCCGGCGTGAAGGAGGTGCTGGGAGGGAGGGGGAGGAGCAGGTACCGTCTGCGCCGCTTTCGGAAGCGGTCAGCACGTCCCTGTGGCCAGGGGCAGAGGGTCTCCGCATGCTGCCCCTGGCTGACTGCCGACTCTGCAGCCCCCATTGGCCACGAACTGCGGTCAGTGGGAGCTGTGGGTGCGGTGCCTGCAGGCAGGAGCAGCGTGTGGAGACCCCCTACCTAGGAGTTGCTGCCAGAGACGTGCCGGTCGCTTTTGGGAGCCGCAAGAGGTAAGCACCGCCCCCCTCACCCCATCCCACACCCCTACCCAGAGCCTGCACCCAAACTCCCTCCCAGAGCCCACACCCCCCACCCCTTCCCATACCCCACCCCCTGCCCCAGTCCTGAGCCCCCTCCAGTACCCAAACTCCCTCCCACACCCAAACTGCCAGCCCAGAACCCGCACCTCCTCCCGCACCCAAACTGCCAGCCCAGAGCCTGTACCCCTCACTCCTTCCTGCACCCAAACCCCCTCCCAGAGCCCACACCCCCTCCAGCACCTCAACCCCCTGCCCCAACTTGGTGAAGGTGAGGGAGAGTGAGAGACAGAGGGAGGGGGGATGGAGTGAGTGGGGGCATGGCCTCAGGAAGGGGGCAGGGCAGAGGCTGAGCAGGGGAGCTTAGGGGTCCCTGAAAAATTCTAAATCATAATGGGGGTCCTCAGGTTGCTAAAGTTTGAGAACTGCTGCGCTAGAAGAATGTCTATTCCAATAGCTTTCAACCTACAAGGAAGGGACATAACATGCAGCACTGCTGTCAGAGATATAAAACTGGAAGAGAGATCATCACAGTGCTGAGTAATATTTGGTTTGTACAGCTCATCTGGAGACACACAAAGCAGATCACTGTTAGTTTTAATCATTTACTATTGCATTTTACAAAATAGAGTAAAGGTCTTAATTCAGCATGCTCTACTCAAGCAGAACTTTGATTAACGTCAATTGAAATTTCATTCGGGTAACAAGCATGAAAGAAGGGCTCTGTTTAGCCCCAAGATATGTTGACTAGACCAAAGAGTTAGGGGCAGAGAGAAGTTATGTTAGTTTATATTTTACAGCACTAGGTGGGTGTTTCTACACTATATATTACCTATTTATTGTACTGATAGGGATGGGGGGGGGACTGCAAAAGTTAAGGGATCAGTACCTCCCCGGTGGGTATGAATCACTTCAAGTGGGGTATGTTGACACACCGTCTTCCTGATTCAGAGACAGTGGCTATCTCCATGTAAAATCCTAGGGGAAACAGGGCACTGTAGTTTTCATCTCGATGTAGCTAACTGAGGTAAACCAGAGGTGTGGGGAGGGTAGAGAAAGGGGGGGGGGGGTAAATAAGGTTGTCCTCAACACTAGTTACATTGAGAAAAAGCTACCTGTGCTTTGTCTCTACTAGGATTTATACCTGCTACTGTATCTTCCACTCCATGCATCTGATGAAGTGGGTTATAGCCCACGAAAGCTTACGCCCAAATAAATGTTAGTCTCTAAGGTGCCTCAAGGACTCCTCATGGTTTTTGCGGATACAGACTAACACGGCTACCACTCTGAAATCTACTAGGATTGTACACTGAGATAGTGTTTTCACATTGAGATAGCTTTCATAGAATCTAAGGACATAAATGACATTTAGTTTGACCTCCTATATAGCATAGGCTATTAAATTTCACCCTGTTGCTGCAGCCTTGAGACCATTAACTTGTGTTTGGCTAATGCATATCTTCCAGAAAGGGATCCACAATCTTGATCTGCAGACATCAGGAGAGGGAGAATTCACCATTTCCATTGGTGTTTGTTCCAATACTTATTCTAAATTTGTGTCTTAATATTTATTTTAATTAGTCAGGTGTCAGTTTCCAGCCTCTCTCTGCTAGATTAGAGTCCTTTAGTACCCGGTATTTTCTCCCCATTAAGGTACTTATACACTAATAAAGTCACCTTTCTATCTTCTTATTGTTAAATTAAAGAGCCTGGGCTCTTTATGTCTCTCATTGTAAGGCATTTTCTCCAGACCTCAAAGCTTTGTTACTGGCTTTTTTCTGCACCCTCTCCAATTTTTCAACATCCTTTTTAAAATGTGGACACCAGACCTGGATGCAGTATTCCAGTATTGGTCTCACCAGTGCTGTATACAGAAGTAAAATGACTCCCTTACTCCTATTCACTATTCCCAACATCACACTGAGATCTCACATTCAGTTGCTTGTCCACTATATAGAATCATAGAATATCAGGGTTGGAAGGGACCTCAGGAGGTCATCTAGTCCAACCCCCTGCTCAAAGCAGGACCAATTCCCAACTAAATCATCCCAGCCAGGGCTTTGTCAAGCCGGGCCTTAAAAACCTCCAAGGAAGGAGACTCCACCACCTCTCTAGGTAACGCATTCCAGTGCTTCATCACCCTCCTAGTGAAATAGTGTTTCCTAATATCCAACCTAGACCTCCCCCACTGCAACTTGAGACCATTGCTCTTTGTTCTGTCATCTGCCACCACTGAGAACAGCCGAGCTCCATCCTCTTTGGAACCCCCCCTCAGGTAGTTGAAAGCAGCTATCAAATCCCCCCTCATTCTTCTCTTCTGGAGACTAAACAGTCCCAGTTCCCTCAGCCTCTCTTCATAAGTCATGTGCTCCAGACCCCTAATCATTTTTGTTGCCCTCCGCTGGACTCTTTCCAATTTTTCCACATCCTTCTTGTAGTGTGGGGCCCAAAACTGGACACAGTACTCTAGATGAGGCCTCACCAATGTCGAATAAAGGGGAACAATCACGTTCCTCGACCTGCTGGCAATGCCCCTACTTATACAGCCCAAAATGCCATTAGCCTTCTTGGCAGCAAGAGCACACTGTTGACTCATATCCAGCTTCTCGTCCACTGTAACCCCTAGGTCCTTTTCTGCAGAACTGCTACCTAGCCATTCGGTCCCTAGTCTGTAGCAGTGCATGGGATTCTTCCGTCCTAAGTGCAGGACTCTGCACTTGTCCTTGTTGAACCTCATCAGGTTTTTTTTGGCCCAATCCTCTAATTTGTCTAGGTCCCTCTGTATCCGATCCCTACCCTCTAGTGTATCTACCACACCTCCCAGTTTAGTGTCATCTGCAAACTTGCTGAGAATGCAGTCCACACCATCCTCCAGATCATTAATAAAGATATTAAACAAAACTGGCCCCAGGACCGACCCTTGGGGCACTCCGCTTGAAACCGGCTGCCAACTAGACATGGAGCCATTGATCACTACCCGTTGAGCCCGACGATCTAGCCAGCTTTCTATCCACCTTACAGTCCATTCATCCAGCCCATACTTCTTTAACTTGCCGGCAAGAATACTGTGGGAGACCGTATCAAAAGCTTTGCTAAAGTCAAGGAATACACATCCACTGCTTTCCCCTCATCCACAGAGCCAGTTATCTCATCATAGAAGGCAATTAGGTTAGTCAGGCACGACTTCCCCTTGGTGAATCCATGCTGACTGTTCCTGATCACTTTCCTCTCCTCTAAGTGTTTCATAATTGATTCCTTGAGGACCTGCTCCATGATTTTTCCAGGGACTGAGGTGAGGCTGACTGGCCTGCAGTTCCCCGGATCCCCCTTCTTCCCTTTTTTAAAGATGGGCACTACATTAGCCTTTTTCCAGTCATCCGGGACCTCCCCCGATCGCCATGAGTTTTCAAAAATAATGGCTAATGGCTCTGCAATCTCATCCGCCAACTCCTTTAGCACCCTCGGATGCAGTGCATCCGGCCCCATGGACTTGTGCACGTCCAGTTTTTCTAAATAGTCCCGAACCACTTCTTTCTCCACAGAAGGCTGGTCACCTTCTCCCCATACTGTGCTGCTCAGTGCAGCAGTCTGGGAGCTGACCTTGTTCGTGAAGACAGAGGCAAAAAAAATCATTGAGTACATTAGTTTTTTCCACATCCTCGGTCACTAGGTTGCCTCCATCATTCAGTAAGGGGCCCACACTTTCCTTGACTTTCTTCTTGTTGCTAACATACCTGAAGAAACCCTTCTTGTTACTCTTCACACTTGGAGTTGCAGCTAGCAAGAGATGTTATTTGGCCTTCCTGATTTCACTCCTGCATGCCTGAACAATATTTTTATACTCCTCCCTGGTCATTTGTCCAATCTTCCACTTCTTGTAAGCTTCTTTTTTGCATTTAAGATCAGCAAGAATTTCACTGTTTAGCCAAGCTGGTCGCCTGCCATATTTACTATTCTTTCTACACATCGGGATGGTTTGTTCCTGCAACCGCAATAAGGATTCTTTAAAATACAGCCAGCTCTCCTGGACCCCTTTGCCCTTCATGTTATTCTCCCAGGGGATCCTGCCCATCTGTTCCCTGAGGGAGTCAAAGTCTGCTTTTCTGAAGTCCAGGGTCTGTATTCTGCTGCTCTCCTTTCTTCCTTGTGTCAGGATCCTGAACTCAACCATCTCATGGTCACTGCCTCCCAGGTTCCCATCCACTTTTGCTTCCCCTACTAATTCTTCCCTGTTTGTGAGCAGCAGGTCAAGAAGAGCTCTGCCCCTAGTTGGTTCCTCCAGCACTTGCACCAGGAAATTGTCCCCTACACTTTCCAATAGCCCCTACTTCCTTTTCAGGAAAACTGCTTTCCAGGATATAGGTCCACATTCTATAGGGTTGACCTGTAGTCTTTGATCCTAGATGTATACCTTTGCATTTGGCTGCATTAAAACATGTTTTGTTTGAATGGGCCCAGCTTACCAAGTGATCCAGATGGCTCTGTGTGACAGGCCTGTCCTTAGAATTATTTACTACTTTGCCAATTTTTGTCAACTGCAAATTTTATCCGTATTGATTTTATATTTACTTCCAGATCAATACTGAAAGTATTGAATGGCATTGGGCCTAGCACTGATCCCTGAGAACCCCACTTCTTTTAGCAGTGAAGACGTAGCTAACATGAGTGCAATGGGTCTTTTGGAGGGTTAATGGTGCTCTCTCTCTCTCTCACACAGCACAGGACAGCAGCGTCAGGGCTCCTCCCAAGTTACACTGATCCAGTTATACTGATAAAACCCAATGGGGGACACACTTACAGAAACACCTTTTTGGGGTTAATTTATGAAATTTAAGCTAAACTGAAAAAAAGCCAGAATGAGACTGTCCAAACAGGGAGAGGGTTTATAACAGGATAACTGTTTATATCAGTTTAAATTCACACCTCAACTTACACTGCTATAGCTTGCCAATGTAAGCAATTTAGATCATTTGTTTTTAAAACAGATTTAGGGCTTGTCCACACTGGTACTTTACAGCGCTGCAACTTTCTCGCTCAGGGATGTGAAAAAACACACCCCTGAGTACTGCAAGTTTCAGTGCTGTAAAGTGCCAGTGTAGACAGTGCACCAGCGCTGGTAGCTATTCCCAAGGGCTCCCAGCGCTGGTAGCTATTCCCCTCATGGAGGTGGTTTTGTGCCGCGATTACACAGCCACGTTAAAGCACTTCCGCGGCAGCACTTTAACATTGCTAGTGAAGACCTGCCCTTAGTGATGCAGTTAAACTGGTGCAAACCTCCGCTTGGACACTTTAAACTTGGTTTAGTTTAAACCTGTTCCTATTCAGCTTAACCTAAATTATATAACTACACCAAAGAACTTAGTAGAACTGTCCCATCTGGTCAAGGCCTTAGAATGGGGCAGCTCTGTACAGGCCAGGCCTCAATCACAGCACATTACACATCCACCTTGTACTAAAACAGAACCAGCCCCTCCTCACATACCCCAACCCCCCCTCTTCTCCCCTCCATCACCAGCCCCAGACCCCCCCCTTCCCCCAGCCCCCTTCTCCACCAGCCCCAGCCCCCCCTCTTCTCCCTTCCTCCTCCTCCACCAGCCCCCGCCCCCCCTCTTCTTCCCCCCTCCGCCAGCCCCAGCCCCCTTCTCCCCCCTCCTCCTCCTCCTCCTCCACCAGCCCCAGCTCCCCCTCTTCTCCCCCCTCCGCCAGCCCCCTTCTCCACCAGCCCCAGCTCCCCCTCTTCTCCCCTGCTCCTCCACCAGCCCCCACCCCCCTCTTCTCCCCCCCTCCGCCAGCCCCAGCCCCCTTCTCCCCCCCTCCTCCACCAGCCCCAGCCCCCCCTCTTCTCCCCTCCTCCAGCCCCCTTCTCCTCCTCCACCAGCCCCCGCCCCCCTCTTCTCCCCCCTCCGCCCCATTTACAGACCTCCCCACCCTCCAGCTCCCCCTTCACAAACCTCCTCACCCCCGCCCCTCCCCACGAGGAAGAGCCAGTCACCCTCTCGGTGTCATCGTCAGACGCCG